GCCGTGGCCTCTTCTAAACCGTCAACCACATCTTGTAACTTAAGGAAATCTACATCAGTTAGTATCTCATAAAGGGATTGTTTAAGCTTGATCCTGGTTAAAATGAGATCGATTAACTCTGTTTTACCAAACAATACGATATCTGATCAAGTTTCCTGTTGGTGGAACTTGGTAAATTGAAATGTCTACCAAGTAAACAGCATCTAAGAGCATAATGAGAAATAAATAAATTTTAAAACCTAATTTCATTAACTTGCCGCGTTTCGATGTATCTCCCCAGATATTCTTGTTGGGGAGACTTCCATTTCGTATGAAAGTTCATCAATAAGGGATTCGAAAGTCGATCCCATCAGAGAACGACGGCCGATTTTAGTTTAACTGCAACCGTTTGGCTTGAATACGACGTTCAAGTTGACGCAATCAACAAAACATCCTCCCTCGTTTCTGGTGAAAATGGGCTTAGTTTTCGTCCATCTCATGATGGACATACTTCGCGCTATAAAAGACACTTGTAAAAGTCTCATGTTAACACTAGGCCAAGAAAACCATCCTTACCTCTTATGTATAATCATATTAAAGAAAAGAAAATGAATAGGCATAGCTAGATATAGAATGGTTTGCCTAATTGTCTATATCATAATATATCATATTATTCTATTAATATCATATTATATCGTAGCAGACTATTAAACTAACATCACAATAGATCATATTATTGCAAATTCTAATTTTGCTCGAGTGTGCATTTGCGTGTGTATGTGTTGCCGGATAGTTTTCTCGGGCTAGTGTTAACAAAAGGCTTAAACAAGAATGAGTTCTAGATGTGATGATGCCCATCATATGGTAAACCAAAGCTCAGCCCATTTTCACCCGAAACGAGGGAGGATGCCTCGTGGACAGCGTCAACCTAAACTTCATATACAAGCAAAATGACTGCGGTACAGCAGGAATCATCTTCGTCTTCTAATGGGATCGACCTTCGAATCTCTTATTGATGCACTTTCATATCAAATAAGAGTCGCCCCAACAACATATCTTTCTCGTCACAATTCTTGCTTGAGTGCAAGTCTGCTATTTGGGGGAAAAAATGTCCTGTTGCATTGGAGAGGCTGTAGTAAAGCTTTGTTGCCCTGACCTCTGACCTTCGTAAAAGCCTACATTTTCACTCCTTCCCAACTCGACTTCCTCTGCCCCACAAGGGCAGGCACACTGGTTGCTCGGCTCCAGGCAACAGATGCTGACGCCGGTCTGAACGGTGAGGTGAGCTATGCCCTGAAACTGGACCGGTCGCCTGGTCTGGCCAGCCTCTTCTTTCTGGACGAGCGAACTGGTGAGATACGCTTGAAGCGCGACCTAGTCGATCCGTCGGTCGAACATTCGAACCGGCAGACTGAAACGTCGTCGTCAGGCGAGCCCATGACCCCAACCAATTCGGTCGTCGGCAACACAAACAAGACGACCAGCGTCGTTAGGCTCAGCCTCACTCCCGTCGGCAAGTCGGTCGTTCTGTCAGACGACGGAGATTCAGGCACGGGATCGGTCCAATCGGAGCGCCCCAAACGTCATGCCTTGTGGAGCAACTTGAGTACCCAACATGACGTACATGAGACTGGCTGGTCGAGTTATCCCCAGCCTGTTGGTGTGCAGCGGTACGCGGATTCCAGACGGCCGGTGCGCAAAGAATCAGAATCAGAAGACAGCCCAAGTGTTCCTAGGACGAGCAGAACAACTACAAGACATAAAAAAGCTGTTCGCGACCTTGAAAAGGGGGACTGGCAGCAGCAGCAACAACAAAAACAACAACAACAAACAGAGGAATCACAGGTTTATCTACCTCTTCGGTTTGTCTACAACATCATTGTCATGGTGAGTTAACCATATTCTTCTATATACTCAAGTTTATTTGCTTATTTGCTTTCATAAGGCCAAGCTATTACAAGCACATTTGTTGAATTAACTCGGCCAGAGTTATAATAATAAGGGGCTTCGTTTGAGGGTAATCTGAGTGACAAATAATCGACACGAACAAATTCTGAATTACAATTATTCAGCACAACATCCAGAAATTGTTTGCTGTACTACTCGGGTTCGATTCCGACTGGGAATGCTGATGATATAAGTTCAGACGAGGTCGAAACTGTATTCCGGCCTAAAGGAGAATACCTTTGGGGAGGAAAAGGCATCCTGATGCCTACTTTTCTCATTAGAAAGAGGATTCGCTATCAAGCCTTTATCAGCTTAATCAGTCAA